CTGAAGAACTGAGAACACTTCACTTCACATAACTTTTAAGTTGGTAGTCAGTCAGTCAGTTGTTTACAGTTGTCTGGGCTTCTAGTAGTTCTTGTAGTCCTGGTGAAGATGATGGTACGTACCAGGGGATTTCTTGTGCTGCACTGTATTCCGGGTAGTCATCTGACGTGTTTGGATGGCTATTTCTGTCTTCTAATGACCAAACCTTAGAGTCACTTCCACTTATATACCTTAAGCAAAGCTTCGCAGAAGTTGTATAAGTGGAAGTGACTCTAAGGCTGGGTCATTTGAAGACAGGACTAGCCATGCAAATATGGCAGACGAATACCCTCAGTACAGTGCAGCACAAGAAATACCGTGGACAATCCCATCTTCACCACCAGAAGGAATTCAAGAAATTCTAGAAGCCCAAACAACAAGCAACAACCTAGGTGTGTGTGTGTGTGTGTGTACACACACACACACACACTACAGGTAAAAAAAAATCTCAAGTGAAGTGATGATACATCATTCAGAAACTAAAAAATATTCCCCATAGTCATTCAGTCATTCCTTCCTTTCCAGAGGAAATCCCCCTACAAAAGCGATTGAACTACTGTGAGGACCACACTCTGCCCTGGTGCACCATAGGGGACAGACCTATCAGATATTGTCTAAAATGCCCAGTGCCTCTTTTGTGATCCCGACAACCAAACAGAGCATGAAAATATGGCCGAAGACGTATTGCATCCACGTCCTAAGACACCGACAGAAATTGATAGACTTGTGCAAAACACAAATTTCTCCAAGCATTCTCACCCAACCTGAATCTCAAGTCATTGAGCCCACTCCTGAACAACTAAATCCTGTGCCTGAAGAACGTATCATCGAAAGTAACGAGGACTTCATTCCTGGAACTCCTGAAAACACCAAGATCGGAGAACTGCCTAAAGCTCGGAGCAGGGTGGATAATCTGGCAACAAGAGGACAAGGAACTAGTAGAACAATTCGATCTAGAAAGGAGAGGTCAGGATCAACTAGCAATGATAGAAGCACTCCTAGGAAGTCAGTCGGAAAGAGATCAACATCATTCAACAGTAGCAGTTCAGATTCCTCCATCAGAAATGACAGTCCTTTGGGAAGCTCAACTTTATCCTCAGGAACCTCAAGGAGCTCTTCCAGCTCAAGCTCCAGCGACTCAGATGCCAGCCCACTTCCAAAAAGAAATAGAACAAGCAGTACAGGAAGCAATGAACATAGATTGGGAACTCCCAATGGAAGACCGAGCAGTCCATGCACAACACCTCCCAATTCTCCTCAAAGGCTTCCCAACGAACAAGACAAAATGAACAGAGGGCGATTGGCAGGGAGTGAAGATGATAAACAAACGGAAACGGGAAGCTACTTCATATTCATCGTCCACACAAGACCAAGACCACAAAGACTCGGAGGAAGAAAAGCAAACTTCACCATCACAGATCACGGTGACCACTGGCACATCACCTTCCGATGCCACCCCACCAACAGATCAAGACAATAGAATACAATTATCAACTTCCTGGGACTTGACCTTGGAGCCAGAGCCGAAGCGGAGGCAACTTGTCAACTTGTCAAAGATATTAAGAGATGGATACTTTACCTTATCAGATACGGACTTCAAAGAATTTCTTATTTTGGTATTGGTCACGAAATCGTTAAGCAGATAATCAAATACTTTTCAAGACCAAGCCTGAAGACACAGTCGACAGCCCATGCCCATACATGACAGAAAACAGAGAACAGAGGACTAACGAAGAAAATACCCAGAAAATTCAAGAATTTGACTACCTAGATGACCTAGTCCAACGTTATACACCTAGGACAGTGAATGACCTCATCAACAAGAAAAGATGAATTCAAGCAACTATACCTCCTCTGCCGTGGTAATTATAAAGATAAGCTAAAGTCAGTCATCATGTTCCACAACAAAGAAAAACAAAAAACAAAGTGAATGCTCCATCATTGAAAACTTGGAACTACTCTACTACTCTCCAAACGTCCACCCAACATCAACAACATGAAATGGATCCAATGTCTCTTCAAGGAAAACAGAATAGATATAGTAAACTTCCTCACATGGTTCACCCTCATAGCTGACAAGAAAATAAATAAGATCAACACTCTCGTCCTTCAAGGACCTACGGGCACCGGAAAATCACTGACACTAAATGCACTTATTGGCCAACTGAACACAGGCATTGTCACAAGAACAGGAGATGCGAACCAATTCCACCTACAAAACCTTCTTGGAAAATCATACGGACTGTTCGAAGAACCCAGAATCAGTCAAATAACAATTGATGACTTCAAGTTACTCTTTGTGGGAGCATGCTTTGAGATAAATGTAGAACACCAAGAACCAGAAATGTTAACAAGAATAACTATCTTTGTCTCAACAAAGATATCAACTACTGGGTACCACCATCAGGCGGTAATGCCCTCTACACAACGACAAAAACATTCCTCCTCCGGAAACCTATAAAATGACTCTCTGACAAAGGAAGCCACAATTCAGCCCTGGACCCTCCACCAGGAATGATCACAAGTGACGACTTCCTCGGACTCTTCAAGAGATTCGACAAAGAAATCTCCTACTTAAAAGAAAGTATTCTAGAAGATGTATTCAGAGGCGACGCCGAAGAAGAGACCGAGATCTGATGACGACGACGGTGACAAACACCACCACCTAGAAGGAGACTCACATATGGACCAATAGAGATGTATCAACTACAACTCCTTCTTTGTTGACATAACTACAAGAAGATACTGGGAATTTGACGCTGCGGGCGAAGCAACATTCTCAGGACGAAAACTGTACCTCCTCCAGATCGACTGGATGCAACTGTACTTATGGACTATAAAGAGTACAGATGGAACTGCTATAAAAACTGTACGTTTCAAAGACATCGAACATATGATGCAAACCTATAGTTACAATAGAATTACAATGCACAGCATGATCCCAACAATGAAAGACCTGTAAGTCTATGGAGGTACTAGTATTGAAACCTTATCATTCACGGACACCCCATACCTGGAGATCTACAAGGACACTACAGGTATCTATAATGAACTAAAATCAGCAAGTGAAATTCATCTAACGCTTGACAAATGGCTACAAAACCCCCAAGTTAAGATATCCTCTACTGCAGAAAACTACTAAACCTCCTTTTACAGTTGGGTTTCATGGAACAAATGAGAGCTGGGGAAAAAAACATTTAGCGTCCACGGAGACACCATGAACTGGTACACGGGAAGCATCAATGACACATCAGCATTTTACATCCCTAAATGGTGCGGCAACAGAGGATGGTCCAAACCAGCAGATGGACTCATGAAAGCAAACTATGCACACCAATCCCCGTTCCACCCAATCTTCTGCAGAATGACACCAGTAAAAAGACCAAATGGAGAAGAACTCAAACTCTCACCTCGAGTTCAAGCAGACCTCTTCATGACCATCGAAGTCCGACATGGCCCACAATGACAACTAGTGGGGGATGGCCGACGCCAATACTTACACACTGGACAGTGGACCGACCTTGGCACATACAAAGTCCCCATACTGCCTACTAACAGCTTCCTGCTACAGCTTACTAACAACAAAATCAAATAAAAAAAATTAAAACCTACAACTACTCTCTTTACCCCATACACAACCGGCTACCCAGGCATGGTGGGCTCCTGCTACCCAGGCATGGTGGGACAATTGACTATAACTACCGACAAGTCACTTCTCAAAAATATTATTTCACCTGTAGCCAGTCGTACCCTAAACTCCATTGGCTTGTCCTGCCGTCACATAAGCGCGAAACGCGGGTACCAGTTCAAATGAACACGTGACGTCAGACATGCCAACGGCCATCTGCGAAACGTGCACCAGGGTAGAGTGTGGTCATCACACTAGTCCAGTCGTTTATGTAGGGGGATGTCCTCTGAAAGGAGAGGAATGACTTAATGACTATGGGGAATTTTTCATTTTTTGTGAATGATGTATTGTCACTTCACTTAAAAGGTTTTTGGTTGTAGTCAGTCACTTACCTAAGTTGTTGATTGTTGTTTGTGCTTCTAGAAGTTCTGGTGATGAAGATGGGATTGTCCACGGTATTTCTTGTGCTGCACTGTATTCCAGGTAGTCGTCTGCCATGTTTGCATGGCTAGTCCTGCCTTCAAATGACCCAGCCTTAGAGTCACTCGAACTTATATACCTTCTGCAAAGCAGTTGTTGATTGTTGTTTGTGCTTCTAAGGTTGGGTCATTTGAAGACAGGACTAGCCATGCAAATATGGCAGACGACTACCCTCAGTACAGTGCAGCACAAGAAATACCGTGGACAATCCCATCTTCACCACCAGAAGGACTTCAAGAACAATCAACAACTAATTTAAGTGACTGACTACAGCTCAAAAACTTTTAAGTGAAATGACGATACATCATTCAGAAACTAAAAAATATTCCCCATAGTCATAGACTATAGAAGTGAGGAATCATTCACCAGCAAAAGACCATAGAAGTAAGGAATCATTCACCAGCAAAAGATTAGGAATCATTCATCAGCAAAAGACTATAGAAGTGAGGAATCATTCATCAGTAAAAGATTATAGAAGTGAGGAATCATTCACCAGCAAAAGAATAGAAGTGAGGAATCATTCATCAGCAAAAGACTATAAGAAAGAGGAATCATTCATCAGCAAAAGACTATAGAAGTGAGGAATCATTCATCAGCAAAAGACCATAGAAGTGAGGAATCATTCACCAGCAAAAGACTATAAAAAGTGAGAATCATTCATTCAGCAAAAGACTAGAGTGAAATCATTCACCAGCAAAGACTATGGAAGTGAGGAATCATTCAGCATCAAAAGACCATAGAAGTGAGGAATCATTCACCAGCAAAAGACTATAGAAGTGAAGAATCATTCACCAGCAAAAGACCATAGAAGTAAGGAATCATTCATCAGCAAAAGATTAGAAGTGAGGAATCATTCACCAGCAAAAGACTATAGAAGTGAGGAATCATTCATCAGCAAAAGACCATAGAAGTAAGGAATCATTCACCAGCAAAAGACTATAGAAGTGAGGAATCATTCATCAGCAAAAGACATAAAGTGGAATCATTCATCAGCAAAAGACTATAGATGAGAATCATTCATCAGCAAAAGATATAGAAGAGGAATTTCATTCATCAGCAAAAAGACTATAGAAGTGAGGAATCATTCACCAGCAAAAGACTATAAGAAGTGAGGAATCATTCACATCAGCAAAAGACTATAGAAGTAATCATTCATCAGCAAAAGACTATAGAAGTGAGGAATCATTCATCAGCAAAGAATAGAAGAATCATGCAAGTGAGGATCATTCACCAGCAAAAGACTATAGAAGTGAGGAATCATTCACCAGCAAAAGACTATAGAGTGGAAATCATTCATCAGCAAAGACTATAGAAAGTGAGGAATCATTCATCAAAGAAAAGACTATAGAAGTGAGGAATCATTCACTAACAAAAGACTATAGAAGTAAGGAATCATTCATCAGCAAAAGACTATAGAAGTGAGGAATCATTCATCAGCAAAAGACTATAGAAGTGAGGAATCATTCATCAGCAAAAGACTATAGAAGTGAGGAATCATTCACCAGCAAAAGCAGCAAAGACTATAGAAGTAGGAATCATTCACCAAACAAAAGACTATAGAAGTGAGGAATCATTCATCAGCAAAAGACTATAGTGAGGAAATCATTCAGGCAAAGGACTATGAGTAATTTCACCAGCAAAAGACATATAGAAGTGAGGAATCATTCATCAGCAAAAGACTATAGAAGTGAGGAATCATTCACCAGCAAAAATAGAAGTGAAATCATTCACCAGCAAAAAGACTTAGAAGTGAGGAATCATTCACCAGCAAAAGAAAAGTTCATTCAATCAGCAAAAGACTTATAGAAGTGAGGATCATTCACAGCAAAAGACTATGAGAAGTGAGGAATCATTCACCAGCAAAAGACTATAGAAGTAGAATCATTCATCGCAAAAACATAGAAGTAGGAATCATTCAGCAAAAGACTATAGAAGTGAGGAATCATTCAACAGCAAAAGACTATAGAAGTGAGGAATCATTCACCAGCAAAAGACTATAGAAGTGAGAATCATTCACCAGCAAAAGACTATAGAAGTAAGGAATCATTCACCAGCAAAAGACTATAGAAGTGAGGAATCATTCATCAGCAAAAGACTATAGAAGTGAGGAATCATTCATCAGCACAAAAGACTATATAGGAATGAGAAATCATTCACCCAGCCATTCACCAGACAAAAGACTATAGAGTGAGGAATCATTCATCAGCAAAAGACATTCATATAAGTGAGGAATCCATTCACAGCAAAAAGACTTATAGAAGTGAGATCATTCATCAGCAAAAGACTATAGAAGTGAAGGAATCATTCACAGCAAAGACTAAGAAGTGAGGAATCATTCACCAGCAAAAGACTATAGAAGTAAGCGAATCATTCACAGCAAAAAAGACCATAGAAGAGGAATCATTCATCAGCAAAGACTGTAGAAGTGAGGAATCAATTCACCAGCAAAAGACTGAAATAAGAGAATCATTTCATCAGCAAAAGACATAGAAGTGAGGGAATCATTCATCAGCTAAAGAATCATTCACCAAGCAAGTGGAAGTGAAAATCATCACTCAGCAAAGACTATAGAAGTAGGAATTCCAATCAGCAAAAGACTACATTCATCAGAAAAGACCATAGAAGTGAATCATTTCATCAGCAAAAGGACTATAGAAGTAGGAATCATTCATCAGCAAAAGACTATAGAAGTGAGGAATCATTCATCAGCAAAAGACATAGAAGTGAGGAATCATTCATCAGCAAAAGACTATAGAAGTGAGAATCATTCACCAGGAAGAATCATTCATCAGCAAAAGACTGAGGAATCATTCACCAGCAAAAGACATAATAGTAAGGAATCAATTCATCAGCAAAAGACATATAGAAGTAGGAATCATTCATCAGCAAAAGGACTATAGAAGTGAGGAATCATTCACAGCAAAGAGACTATAGAAGGAGGAATCATCACCAGCAAAAGACTATAGAATGAGGAATCATTCATCAGCAAAAGACCATAGAAGTGAGGAATCATTCATACAGCAAAAGACTATAAAAGTGAGGAATCATTCATCAGCAAAAGGACTATAGAAGTGAGGAATCATTTCACCAGCAAAAGACCACTAGAAGTAAGGAATCATTCATCAGCAAAAGACTATAGAAGTGAGAAATCATCATCAGCCAAAAGGACATAAAGTGAGAAATCATTCATCAGCAAAAGCATTCATAGAAGTGAAGGAGGAATCATTCACAAGCCAAAAAGACCATAGAAGTGAGGAATCATTCATCAGCAAAAGACCATAGAAGTAAGGAATCATTCATCAGCAAAAAGACTAGAATGAGAATCATTCACAAAAAGACTATAGAAGTGAGAA